TCGGCGCGGGCCGCGCGGGGGCCGCCCTGGACCCCGTGAGCTTCGCGCGGCGGCCCCAGACCCTGCTGCGGGTGGTGTCCTGGGTGAGTAGCCCCGACCCCCGCCCTCATCGCCATCCTCATCCTCATCCTTGCCCCGGCCCCTCCCCCGCCTGGCGGCAGGTTGGGGTGACGTCACCGGGCTGGGCGCGCCCACCTGCGGGCGGGGAAGGGGTCGGCAGGGACTGCCCGGGACCTTGAGAGGTCACAGCCGGCCTCCCCCTGCCCTCTAATTCCCCTTCCTCAGCCCCTGCTCCGTTTTTCCTGTCCTCACGACCTGGACGCGGGCACACGGTGGGAGTGGGAGTCGCGAAGGTGCTTCGGCGCCCGCCCCGGCCCGAGGAGGGGACTACGGGAGCTGAGAGGGATCTGGCAGGGCCTCCCCCGACCCACTCCGCGCACACACACATCCTCCGAGTTCCTTCAGAGGAAGCTGGCCCTTCCCAGGCCCCCGGTGCAGCTGTGAGTTGGAGGGGCTCTGGAGCGCCCTCTGGGTGGGACAGCTGAAGGGGCTCTGCACTGGGAGGACTTCCTGGAGGTGGTGTGTGAGGGGCATCCCTAGGTGAGGTGGCTTGCCCCTTTTTCCTTCCCCTTCAGGCAGTGGAGTTGGGGGGTTGTCTAGTACTGGGCCTGTTACAGCGTCCAGCCTGTCAAGGCGTGTGCTGGTGCCAGCCGCACCTCAAGGCCAGTGTTGGAGCAGGGCGGAGCCTACGGGGGGGCAGGCGGCCTGGGCCTTCTGCGTGCAGTGACTGACCAGACCAGAATGCAGGACCGACTTGGGGACCTCTCCGGGAGGATGCCATGCCCTGTGCCTCAGTTCCCGCCACCCCCGCCACTCCCCCCGCCCATAAATGGGGGCTTGGTTTCTTGAAACTGGAGGTCTTTTCTTGGAAACACAGAAGTAGAAGAGCGGTATTTGGTTTAAAATGACCATGGTCCCTGTTTGTCCCTGCCTGCCCATCCTCGTGGGCACAGGGTGCTGAGGTTTGACTGAATCCCAGAGGTCAGTGGTGGCCTTTTGAGCCCAAACACTTATGGGTAGTATTAATACTCAGTCCTGGTCACATGGGGGCCTTCCTTCCTCAGAACCACATGCAGGATGCTGTCCCCACCACTCCCTGAGCTGTGCCGGCTACTCCCACTTGGCGTGCTAGGAAACGGGCCACACAGCTGACAAGTGCTGAGGGCAGGTTCCACGCAGGGCCTGGTGGTCAGCTCCCTGCAGCTGTCCCTGCCCCTTTCCTTGCCACTCTCTCCTCTCCGGGTCTTCTCCTCCTCCCTCGGCCTCCCCGCTACCACTGTCTCTGGGCTCCACACTTGGCCTCCCCCACGCCCTGCGGGCTCCATCCAGCCTGCGGATCACAGATCCTGTTCCCCACTTTCCTGGGCTCTGGAGGCAATACTCAACGTGGTGCGGATGACGGAGCTTGACTCCCCCCCCCCCC